TGAACCAGCAGCCTTCTAGCCACAGACGCAGAGCCTTAGCCACAGTGCCACTGCTCCGCCCTATCTTGATGTCTTTTCGGAGAGAAAGATTGAATATGTCCGAGAAGACATCTGCCAGCTGGTCTGCACATGCACAGTCTTTTTAAAAACTTTACACACATCTGCTCTGGATATGATCAGTGGGTATTCACCTTGGGTTACTGGAATCCTCCTGGCTGGATCAGCGTTATTGTGTTATGTTCTCAAACAGAACATAGAATGAATTTAGCTCATCAGGAAGAAAGGCAGACTGTTGTGTGATATAGCCGAGTTGCGCTTTGTTGTCTGTAATGGTGTGTATTCCACTCCACATGTTCCGGGGACTGCAGCCATGATAATATGACTCTAATTTAACTCTATAGTTGTATTTAGCTATTTTGATGGCTTTTCTGAGGTTGTATCTGGATTTTTAATATCAATCCATGTAGCCAGAATTGAAAGCAACTCTCCTAACTTTAAGCTTAGCACGTTGATCAGAACCCATGCATTAGAAAACTGCTACTGTAGCACCCATCCACTGGAACGCAATACAACCTAGTTGCACCAAAATAGACTTAAATCAATTCAATGAAAGGTTATGGGAACAATAATTAATATTATACTGAAGGATCCTCTGTATGCTTTTTAGATACTAGTTCTCAGTCCTCGTTCTGGATTACCTTTCTGTCCCCCTGTTTTTTTTTTCTCCAGCCAAGTTCTTAATCACAGGTGACATTATGTAAATTTTCTATTTGAGGTATATTCCTTACATTTGCTTTTAGCTCTTTAAACATGGACTAATATTTTTAATTGGCATAAACCCTGTGCTAATTAGCAAGTTTCAGGATTTTTCTCACTCAAGTGTATGAGCTGAAATGTAACCAACTGAAGTCAAACGCTAGCCGTGGGAGTTGTCTAAAACAGTGTCTAGCTGTGTCTATCATCAATTGATCACCTACTTGTATTAGGAGCTGTTTAAGCAGAAATAAGAGAGCAAAGTCTTAATTAGAAAGCTGAAAAGTGACTTCATAAAGTTTGGTGTACTGAAGTAATTAAATATAAAGCAAGTTAGGGTATTTATGAAATAAAAGTCTTAGTGCAGAAAAACATTTAAACCAGCCAGCAGACCAGTAATAGCACATAATCAGCTGGAACAAAAACCAGCACACACAGAGGGATTCTAGGACCAGGCTTGAGAACCACTGCACATAAGTTTAGTCAACATGGAAAAGGCAACAGTGTGAATACAAATATGCAGTAGTCTATGACATGGTGTTGATAAAAGGGTTTCAGAAAGTTTCTGACGAAGTTCCACAGAAAAGATTCTAAATACTTAAGCTGTAAAACATAAGCATTCAAAGCATTCAATGTAATGCATTAATTTGGATTATCTTGGTAAGAAACAGAATGAGTGCTCATAATGGTATGCAATTAAGGGAGTATTGGGATCAATACTAGGACCACTGTTCTTCCTAATCTAGATCAGTGATCTGGATTCTGGAATAGTTAGTAAACTAGTCTGCAGATGATACCAAGTAAGCACAGACTGTAGAAGTTGCAGAAATTCAAAAAGACTCAGTCACTAATCAAGATTTGACAAACAAGTACTATAATAATGCTACTGTACATGTTTTATTGCAATGATAAAAATACCAAGTCTTTTTTGGAAGAGTTACTAGGGTTTTTTGAGATCTGAATTGAAGAATATGTGGATTCAAAATTCTTTTAATGACACAACCCACAGTCATCACCTGATAGATGGGCTGAACCTGGTCATGTACGTATGGTAATTTTGTCTTCACAGATATTGTTACTGTTACAAAGTACGCTAACTACAGTATGTTCCTTGTCAGATATTTGTAAAATATGTGTTTTATGCGGTTTTCAATGTTTCCATTATTCAGTACTTAGGTGGTATTTTCAGCATTTGTTTTTTTGCAAAGCACTCATGTTGTTATCTGTTGGCTGTGCTCAGAGCTTCAATACCTAGAGAATGATCTATTTGCTGGGGATGTTCATTTCATGAGCCAATAAATGACAACAAATTGCTATATAAATGAACTGTATAAATTCATGCAAGGATATTTACAACCAAAACTATTTGAATGCGAAAGAAACAGGCCTGGTTTGCAAGCAAAGAGGCAGAATTATTAGGTACATTCTGATCTGATTGTTTCTTTTAACTGTGCTTGACATCTTCATTTGGAATGACTGCAGTCTTTTTGAAAATTATTTATATTCACACTGATAACATTCTTTACATACAGTATATTGCTTTCTTTTGCACACACACAATATTTTTTATTAATTGTAGGTATTTGTATTGCAATTGTCCAACATCATGTTTGCGCAAGTCAAAATGAGTTCACCCTCTCCCTCTCTCAAGAGTCACTGAAGCAAAACATATGTCCAGTAAACAACAGGCTGAAACTGGAATAACTGCATACAGTACCAGTGATAATTATCAGTCTCTTTTTTACTTTGTAAATCCTATTTTAAGTAAATTTATGGGTAAATCTCTATAAGCATTCATTTCTTTCTATATGTCGAAGTGCTACAATGATACTACAAAAATGTAATGCAATTTTCATCACAAAGACTTTTGAAGATTGGCTTAATTATTGTAAATGCAGCCATTTTACAAGCACTAATTTTCTGTCTTTACGCTTAAAGATATTGTGATGCAAGACTAGTTGCAAGCAAGTTACTAGTTGGATCATCTAAACTCTCTTTCTCAAGTAAAAAGTGATCATCATCACACTGAGGTTTAAAATATATTACTCATATTAATTTCAAATCCGTAGTAAATTAGGTACTAAGTAAAAAATATTTATAGTGCTTCTTAATGTACTAGGCCATCTTGCTTATTTGTTTGCAAGTAATTAAACCAAAAATGTTATCTAGCAGTTTTCTTGAAGGATCCAGAGAATCTGCCTTCTTGCTTGGGTAGATTGTTCTGTACAATCCGATGTATAAAGAAGACATTTTCTGTTTCTTTTTCTGTTTCCATGTCTTTTTAACTTTGTTTTGCTCTTGAGGACGATTTGGATATTTACTGGGGTCACACTGGCTGAAGCAACAACTGTGGCCACTAATGCAAAAATAACAAATTAATAACAAATGTTTCTCATATTAAAGGAATGACAAATACCTTTGTGTATGTGCATGTGTGTGTTAACACATGTCCTGTCATCCTGCCTTGCACCCTGTGCTTGCTGTGTCGGCTCCAGCACATGAAAATCCACAACAGAACAGAACTTCTCTGTTTTCTGTTTTCGGACCTCGCAATATTACAACCTGTGTCAAAGTCCTAGTCTAGTTTACCGTCGAGATCGCGGTGAAGCTTTTAAGTTTGACTTTGTTAATCCATTGTAAAGATTGCCTTCATTATTATTGTTGTTATTATTTTCACACTCCAGAAAAGATGTTATGTAACATGTCACATGTTAGCAAGGTGGGTGGCCTGTCTAACAGGGAATGTGCTCACGTTGTAGCTGTGCAATAGGAAAATAGAGTTGACCTGTGTAGAACAAGACGTTTTTCACACCACAATCTGTTACGCAGCGTCTTTCAGGACCCTATGCAGACGACACAATCCGGAAGGGAGTGAACACACACAGCGAGGAGACGAGGAACTGGACTAGTAGAGGAACCCGGGGGACGGGACAAAGGTGCTCTGGGGGGCGTGGTCCAGGCGAACAGTCCAAAACGGAGTCCAAAGGGAAGTCCAGTGCCGGGTGATAAATCCAAGACGAACAAAACAAAGTTAAAAGCCGGAGTGGAATCCGGCGAGGGGTTGTAGACAGACATGACCAAGTTAAAAACCGGAGCGGGATCCTGAGAAGGGTCGGGGGGAAAAAGGGGAAACGGAACCAAGCGCTCCAGATCCCAGACTCGGCTGGTTCAGGACACCAAGGCAGAGCCCGGAACAGAGTGAGCGTCTGGCTCTTACAGGGAGGGAGGAACGGGGAGCAGGTGCACAAAATCAACTCAAAAGTAAACGAGCCGGAGCGCCCTTAAGGGGGAGGGACTAGAATCATGACACCATCTGCTTCTAAATTTCCATTTAATGGGCCAAGGCTTTTTGAAGCAGAACACAGAATACTCTCATTATTTGCTGAATAATTACAGTTATTGGAATGTACACTCTTCAATCTCAGATGACTTCAGTGCTGCTTGACCCTGCAACATTCTCCATGTTTTTTCCAATTTGATGATTACTAATTATACTGTAGTATAAACTAACTAACTAAAGGCAGAAACCAAATATAGTAAATGCCATTCAAGGGGTGAGAAAGCAACAGCTGCTGATGTCAATCATTCTGCATCTCTGAGCCAGCCTTAATCCTCCAGTAGGCAGATCTTTGAATAGCTTTTTGTAACAGAGGTTCTAACATTAAAGCTGGAGCAGATGTCCATTGTCAAAATACTGTTTATCCAGATGAGCCAATTCTATGCCTGCTAACTGTGCTGCTTAAAGCAGACTGATTGGATTTCCCTCTGCCACATGACTCAGAGCACTTTGAGACTTTGATGCCACAACAAAAGCCATTCGCACCAAAACACAGAGGAGGCAGACGTCTCTGCTTATCAAATAGATCATTTGGTTTCAGTCAACGAGTACCAATGGTTTGAGCTTTTTGAAGCATAAAAAATATGAAGAGAAACCCAAGGGTCTTCAAGGTTTTATGGTTCTCTAGTAAAGCATGTTTACTGTAACACACACCTATTCAGAAGCCAGGGGTTACAGTGATGGTGTCACTGTGCCTTTGTATAATTGTAGTTTTTCATTGGTGCTTTACCATATCCTTGTTACACTATTCCTGCATATAAATTGAAGAATTGACACAAAAGTCTAATTACATACTGTAGCTTCTCTCCTTGTCTGTGTGTCTCATGGAAAGTAAGTTGGGGTATGCAAAAAAAGACAAATTCCTAATACAAGAAATTGTATATGGCCAATAAAGAGATCTTATCTTATCTCTCATGTTCAAAGTACATTTACAGTATTTTATGAAGGAGCATCGTAAGCACCTGGCAAGGACAGAAGGATGCTGAGATAATTTGCTTCTCCTGGTAGGAGACAAAGTTTCCCTGGTTTGGCTGGTGAAAGCTGACTATGAGCATTTGTGAAGCATGTTTCCTTCTCAGTTATCTCTCCCAAAGAAAACAAATGCCTGTGCTTTTGAGGAACATTTAGACATATGTGGTCTTTGTGAGGGTGAATGATACTATTTCCAAAAGTGGATAAAGATTTGCAAGGCCGTGACATCTCTGTTGACGTCCTCGGGAACACAGGATTCTGCCCTGTGTTTAGAGGTGGATTCTGTTGAAAAAAGTAACAGAAGAAACATCTGGATTGGAACTGCAATACAGTATGTAGGCCCATAAACTGGAGTTTCAACATATTAAAAGCAATAAAGAGACCATAAAATACTTGAATTTCTGAAAATTACTCGTCATTTTATTACAACATCCTTCTGGTCTGCCCAAAATAATGCAATGGGCGTTATGCTTGTCCTGAAAGCTCATGTTTTGTAAGCTTGCAGAAAGAGCTCTGCCATTTGCACTGGGAAACAAGAAAATGGCTGGCTGATTGATTCAGGGAACATCAAAGATCTCTCCAAGATCACAGTTTCCCATTCTACTTCCCCCAGCCAGGATAACACTGACCTTTCCCTCTGCAACTTTTCACAAGGGTTAAAGGAATCCTGCTCCAGATGTCAGAATTAAACCAGGTTCAAGCCTTTCATTTGCTCCCAATGATCCATCAGCTTGTTTCTAAATCTCTCCATTCATTCTGAGTTCTGCGTTCCTTTACTTCCCCTGATATTTCTTGCCATGATTTACATTTCTTTAGCCTCGGTTTCAACACATGCCCTACACATTTTTACAGTATCTTTTTCATGTTCTCCTTCCACACCCATTTTATCCCAAAAATAAAATATTAAAGATCTAAATTACACTCTGCAGTGATGACGTGTTTGAAACAATGTTGAAATTACAGTATGTGCCGCTATACTGTAATTGCAAAGTTGGCTATAGTTGTCCTAAAATTTATATTAAAGATGTCTGAAAAAGATTGTAAATATTATTTTCTGTTGCAAAGGGTATTTGCATAAAAATCAATAATATATTCTTGTATATTTTCATTTAAAATAGACACAAATGACATTTTCATAGAAAACCTATTCATTTGATTCATGTTTTATTTCATTCCCATGCCAACACTATTTAATCAGCTTATGCCTTAAGCCAGAAATGTAATAAACTTATTTGCTAATACCATTGTTTAGAGGCAGAACTCTTCCTCTTATCTTCTGTGTACTTTCTAGATATTGTTCTGCAGCATGTGAAATGTCCTAATTATTTTTCCTATCTGTATAGAGCAAATGTATTAATCAAAAATATAATATAGCTTTCAGAACCCTTTTAAAAAGGCCTTGTTTATATAATTATCCCATAATATGCAATCAAAATTTGTTGAATTGTAGGACAAATCCCAGCTGGAGGATAAGAGTGGCCTTTATATTTGGAGGGTAGGATATGTGACTGTACGTGCAAATCCTTCTAGATATAGAGGAGTAATTTGTCATCATGTGCTTCATTTTGTACCTGCCTTGAGCACAGCAATAATTCCTTGTATTCTTATAGCACTTCATCCCTATAGCAATTTATATAGATAAGGGAACTTACTTTATTCACCAGTGACATGTGGGCACTATCCTGGCTTTGCGTAATAGCCACCTCACAGTGCAGATCACCCTTTGAGAAAAACAGAAACTTTAACTAAGCCAGCATGTTCAAGAGTAAAATGGAATTTATCTTCATAGAGCTTCTGCCCTATCAAAATCTAACATTCAAGTAACTTTAGAATTACATTTCCACATGCTTCCTGTTAGGCAGCAACATGCTTTAACGTTGGTAGACTGTTAGCATGGTTCAACTGTGTGAATTAAGGGCAGTAGTGGATAAAGGCTTTATTTTAATAACTGGAAAGGTCTAATGCCCATGTAGCCTTCAGCAGGCTACTTCACTTGCTTAAATGTCTTATCTATTATTTAAATGACTTTGCAATCTACACACAGGTTTATCTGCATACATATGTCAAAATAGACCACGAACTGGAATTCTGTTTTGATATTACATGACACTACGGTTCACATGTTACACAGCTGCACATGTGAAATAACATACTGTAAGTAGTTCAAGTAGGGAGCTGCATAGGCTGCAAAGGAACAAGTAAAGGTCTATTCAATACTGAAAAGAGAACAAAGGAAACACAATGTTTCAGCTGTGGAGCCTTCTTCAGGTGTGCAATCAAAAGAAGACCCGAAGAAGGCTCCACTGCCGAAACGCTGTGTTTCTTTTCTTCTCTTTTCAGCATGGAATAGACCTTTACATGTTCCTGTGAAGTAACATGTTTGCCGTGCTTGTCCGCCATGCCCTACATAGGATTAAAACAAAGGAAAGGTTCCAATAAAGAGGAGACCATTTGGCCCATCTAACTGGTACTAAGTAGCTTTGTGATCCAAGGATCTTGCTAGCTGTTTCTTGAAGGGTGTCAGGGTATCCGGTTCAATTACAAGGCCAGGCAGCTTGTCTCGCACTCCCACAACCCCTCAGGTAAAGATGAGCTTCTTGCTCTCAGTTTTGATCACACATTTATGTAGCTTCCACCCGTGTTCTCTAGATTGTGGTTCCCTGTTTCTAAAGAAACCCGCTGGGTTGACTCTGTCAATGGCTTTGTGGATTTTGAATACATGTATCAGGTTCTAGCTGAAGTATTCTGTGTTCAAGGCTACAAAGCTTCAGTTCCTTTGGCCTGTCAAAGGAAGGGCATTCTCTTAAGCCCTGGACCTGATCTGGTGGATCTTGTCTGCTCTCATTCCAGAGAAGTATCTTATCTACAATTTGGTGACCAAAATTGTACACAATATCAGCCATTTTCAGCAATATATTATTCAGGTGGGAGCTGCGTCAGCTGCAAAGGAACAAGTGATAGGTTTATTCCATGCTGAAAAGAGAAGAAAGAAAACACAATGTTTCGGCCTGAAAACACAACGTTTCCACACCTGAAGAATGCTCCATGGCCGAAACATTATGTTTTCTCTATTTTCTTTTCAGCATGGAATAAACCTATTACTTGTTCCTTTGCAATATATAATTAAGGTCATTATGTTAAATAACATGAATAGCAATGAGAATGCCAATTAAAACAAGTTTTATTAGTTTATAATTTATCCTTATTGACTTAAAGTCCTATTGATGTTAGAATCTGTATGATAATATCAAAGCAGCACTCCTGTTCAAAAGAGCAGTATATTTTCGCATACATAAGCAAGTAAATATTATTACTTATAAAAGTAATTTAAAAATATGTGACACTTAATCTTGGAATACACATTTAAAATTCATTAAGACGTCCCATTTAATTTTATGAATTCTTCAGTATGCTAATACTTATCTAGTTTGCATCATAACCTGTGAAATCAAGTGCATCTAAACACCAAGTTCCAAGCTGTTATTAATTATACACTTCGGCAAAAGGTCAATGATGAATTTCATTTGCAGAGAATCTAGATTTCATGGATGCGAATTCCACAGAGCTTTACCAGCAACCTTCCTTCAAATTATGAGATGAGCCGAGGAGTCACTACGTGAGCATCAGCACTGCTGTTAGAATACTTGTCATTTTCCGACGATATCATCTACAAAAATGCTAGAATCTTTATTGATTACATTTAAATACAATGTTTTTAAATGCAGTAAAGAGTGTCTGTATTTGTTACATTTTTGTAATCGGAATGCATTCACTTCCAAAAAGCAGAAAGCTCTTGTTGCAATTTAAATGGGAATCTTAAGTGAAGAAATCAAGCAATCCTCCCAGCTGGAATTGTGCAGTCCATTCTACTCCCGAGAAAGTTCTGATAGTGTAGATGACCGAATGGAACTGCATACAATTCCTATTTTATTTATCACATGGAAAAAAACACCACAGTTTGAAAAAAATAAAACATGCTCAAGATTTCTTTCTTCCTTATGATGCTTGCCTAAATTAAATAATTAAACTTTTTTTTTTCCATGTGCAGTAATTACAGTACCTCAACAACAAAGGTCACATTCTCAAGCTGTATCTTGCTTGAGAATCACAGTTGATCCGATTCCCATAACCAAATATGTATTTAGAACTCAAATGTCAAGAAATTAGTAATTAAGATTTGAAGAGAGGGCAATTAATTAGGGGTACTTCTAAAGCTTTTAATGTATTAGGAGTTCATCGGCAGATGGCTTTTTTCATGTAAAAACACACTCTTGTTATTCTGCTACAATAACTCAGCTGAACTCCCCTCCAAGGGGCTCAAGTAATTGTGACTGTGGAATATTACACTGAACAAGATCTTGATAGTTAAATCTCCAAAGTGGAAAGACATTTTTCTTTTCCTGTGAGTTAATGAGCTTTAGAACTGTTATAATAGTTTTTTTTAGTGATAAAACCAATGTCATTACCTACAGAATCGTGTACGAGATCCAAGAAGTTCAGGTGGGTGGTGTGTTATTGGAAAAAATAGCAGTAACATCAGGTGCATAAAAGAACCTCCACGTTTGTTTTCATTAAAAAAGCTTTACCATAAAATGTGGTAAAATCAGATACTTTTCTGGAAATACATTCATTTGGGGTTACTTTTTGTCCTCATAATCCTATTCTTTCCCTAGAATAGGGAACATTTACTGTTCAAGAAGAAAAGAGCACAATGACTTGGGCAGCTGCTGCTCCCTTTATGTAAATCCTGTAGATCATACTAATGGATGCTTAGCACTTTCAACTAGCTAATTCAGATAAATGCATTGTTTGATTTCATACCCTGTGATATTCTCTGTTAGGAAGACACCATCTTGGCTCAAAATTCAAGACCAGTGATGTGGCCATCAGCCAAGGTGGCCGCCTGTTATTTGAGGAAAGCTGCAGAATGAGGCACAGCTGGGATAAATGAGTCTTTCGTACTTAGAGGTCTGACTGTAAGATAAATGGTGGTGAAGTGAAAAGGATGCTACAGAGAAAGTGAGGAGAGAGAGATGGGTATTGTAGAGAGATTCAGAATGAGTATTGCACCGCCTAGTTTACAGTGAATCGACAGAGTGACTCAGAATGTGTGTTTGGGAGAAGAAACCAGGGAATAAGGTGAAAGGAGTCTACTCAGTTTTTCCAGATGGGATCAATATACGACCACAGGTCCTGTCGAGAATCAACGTAAAGGCAGGACAACTACAATGCTAAAATATAAGGTGACACACACATAATTTAAGAGCTGGCATTGTCATGTACCCTTACAAAATTCTGCTTTGCGTGAGGATTTATTAATATACAGTACTTTACGATAAGTAGCCTCTAGTAGTAAGATTTGTGTAGTACTCTCTCTTTGTTCTGGAAAGCCGTTGCAACTGTGACAGCTCCTTTTGCCATTTAGCATTGTGCTTAAACACTTCAGTTGCATATTTTTCTCTTTGAAGACTGTGTTATAATCTCTAGACTTACTTCTACTGTTCTCAACTCACCACTCCACCACAGCATGTGTCCTTCGCAGATTCCCTCCAGATTGTTTTTCCTTCCAAACTTTTCATCTCCTCCAATGACCTTCACAATCACAAACAACAAAATCAACTTAAAAGAGTTTATTGAGCCTTGAGTACACAGCAAATTATTTTACAATTAGAAAATACTAGTCAGTTTCATTTAAGGTCACTCAAACTGCCATCTGGTCTTCTGTGAGTATTTTGAAAATGTAATGAAAACAAACAGTAGGCCTTCATGTTTTAAAACGTATTTAAACTAAAAAGATAAACACTCTATTCATTGTGCTTTTTAGCATATTTGTTTCCAGTTTTTAATTATTCTGATCCTAGCCACCTCTATGGGGAAATGAACTGGGAAAATTCAATAGCTAAATGCAATACTATGTGGCACCCACTCACAGGAGTTTAAAATTACCTCAATCAACTTTGTTCAGAAGTATCAACCGCCTGGGAAGTGAAGTCTCCAGCATTTTGCAATAATATTGTGAATGTGCAGAATTCTAAAGCCTACATCAGGTGGGAACAGACAAGCTACTTGCATAAGGTTTTATGAAATGTTTTTACCATTCATTAAACCTTTAGAATTGCACTAATACTTTCCTTGCTAGACTGGAAGGATCTAATGGAAAGATTTCAATCTCACTGATCACCCACTGATAAACTCAATTTAATGTTCAGAACTAAAAAAAAAGATTTCTTGCAATGAAGACAATGAATGAGTGCACACTGTTAAGAAACAAGGAGAAAAAGTACTTGCATTTGACTTTGATACTGTATGTGTTATATAACATCTACGTACAGTACAATGCACTAAGTAAAGCTACTGTATATGCAGAATTACAGTATAATGACAATTCCAGCCACAGTGACTTAAGGGAAGCAAAGACTTCTTGATTAAATTAAAAAAACGTGGACAGTGTGGACTGGCCATGCTGTCCATTGAGGAAATAGCATCAACTCTGAATTGTAACAATGCAAAAACTTTCTTTGGTCCATAGTCTTCTATTTCATATTGTTCTTTTTTCAGGGTTTTACTCATTCACTCATTCACATCTTTCCTCATCTCTGTGTCTTCACCAATCACGGTGCACTCATCCAATTAGGCACTGACTCTAATTATTCTCCTGACTCACTTTGTGTCACCCAATCTCTCAGTATCTTCACACATCACCACAACACAACCATTTACTCTTTTTATCCTTAACTCAACTGGCTGATCCTGTTTGGCCAGGCATAATGTCTTCATTAGTCACCCCTCAGAACCCCATAAATTATTAAGAAGGCCAGTCTGATTTTCCCCGGCTATTTCCCTTACCCGGGCACAATAGTACAATAGTACTGTTACGTCCCCGTGCGTGTTTTTGTTTTTTCTTGGCTTCCTGTATTCAGGTACCCCCACACACACACACACATTGGTCAAATACTACATCATCATTGCTGTTGTGACATCATCATCAATTAACCCCCGTCCAGTCAGCAACTAGATCTACAGTTTAAATACCGAAGAAGTTCTGACCTCGAGAGCTTTCAGCTCAACTTCGGTTAGCTTCGGCTCATGATCGGATTTGCTCGCTAGTGTTCGTGTTTGTTCTTTGTTCGCTTCTGCTTCGTTTGTTTGTTGGTTTTGATTACCTGTGTTTTGTTATTACCTTGCACCTTTAAGCACCTGTTACTTTCCTTTTTACCTTGCTTGTGCTCATTTGTTACCCTATTCCTTGCTCACGTATTTTCTTCGGTATTACCCGTTTTCCCCTAATCGTGCAATTAGTTCACTCGTGTTGTGTTATTGTTAACTGTGAACTTACTGTTAACTGTGTTGTACACCAGGGGAAAGGTATAGGTAAGGTCATCGGGCAACATTGTGCACACGTAGGTTTGTTTTCAGTCTAGACACACTAGGTTAGGTGGCGTGTGCCACTCGTGTATTTTGGTTCTGGTTAGTTCAGTGTAGGGAAGTTAGGGCGTGTGAAGATGCCGAAGAGGTTAGTTAGACTTCACTGTATTAGCTAGATCCATTTGGTTTTCTTATTTTCTCTCCTTTGGTACCGCTCAAGTTCCCTTTCCCTGTGTTATTGTGTCCTGTATACATGCCAGTCACTTATTCACTTTTTAAAAATAAATCACTTTTGCACCCAAACTTTTGTTGTCACGCTACCTAAGTCCCTCACCAGAAACCCCTGCATCCAAACCCGTCCAAATTGTTACAGCCCTTTACCCCTAGACACCTGGAGTCATAACATTCAGGTAACTGCGTACCTGAAGCTGAGGTCTCCTCCAAGGGGCTGATAGCCAAAGAACTTGTTGATCTGTAAAACAGAACATAAACATGGCTATTCAGATATTCACACATGGTTTTGTTCTTTGTTTATGGCTTGTACAGTAAGTAATTTAATTTTTGTTCAACTGAAAAATGTGTGATGGTGGGTGGGTGGATAGACAGATGACCAATTATAACAGTGTTTTATATAATGAAACCAGGGATGTTTGCATTTAGGAAGAAGTAGATATCAAAGGAGAATTCATTTTTCTTCAATTAGACTGGGGGAAAAAACTAAGTCAAAGAAAAATTCAGAAGCTGACTAAAATGATAATGGCTAATGACTGCGTTCTTACATAATCTCTCAGAGAGACTACAACAAGCTTAAATGCCTGTGCCGATCCAGGTTTGCAAACACTCAAGATAGAGTGATGAAAACAGAGGTGACCATTAGGGAACTGATTGCTTCTGGAATCAGTACAGATCTTCAGGTGGAATCTTGGGGTCATTTTTAGCTTGAGCCTTGCATTTTAAGGTCATGTTGTCTGTAATGTGATGAAATATATATTTAATCTTGAAATATAACATTTTTCAAGCATGCATTTTCTTTCCCAGGGTTGATTATTGTTGCTTTTGGGAGCATCCAGATATGTTCTAAATTTTTTGTTGGCTCAGGCTCATGTCAAATTTAGATTTTAATCAAAATTAAAATGCATGAGCATATATCATCTGTCCTAATTTTCTTATACTGGATCCCTGTGTATAATATTCATCTGAACATAAGAAAAGTACAAAAAAAACTGCTGCTCACCTATAAGGGCTTGAACAGCTTGAACTTGTTAATCTCCTATTGTCACGATTGCAGTCCCTCCTCCTTAAGGGCGCTCCGGCTCTTTCACTTTGGATTTAATTCTGTGCACCTGACGCCTGTTCCCAGTCCACCTTAAAAGCCTGGCGCTGACGTTCATCCGGGCTCTGCATTTGATTTCTGTGTCGTGCGAGTCCGGGACCTGGAAGTGCCTGGTCCCATTCCCTGTCCGCTGGTTCCGACCCAGTTCATGTTTTTAATTCCTTGTTTGGATGGATCACCTGGCTATGGACTTATTCATGTTTTTGGATTCCCTCTCTGGATTACTTTTGGATTGTTTGCCTAGGCCACACCTCCCCTGTGCATCAGCGCACTTTGGACACGCCCCCCCTGTTTTCATCCCCGTATTCCTGCATGACGTTTTCCTAGTGTTTCCTCACGATTCTGGATTGTGTAGTCCGCATAGGGTCCGGAAAGAACTGTTTGTTACACCTATAAACCTACATACAGTGTAATTTCATCCATCAGACTCTGGCCTGCATTGATTGCCCAACACTAGGGAGTTGTGCCTTCTATTTTGATGTTTCAAGCCTGTGAAATGAACTCCCATTTAAAATTGTACATTAGTTACTCATAAAATGCTTAAGATATTGCTTCTTTGGATTCAGTCCAGGGAAGTCTGACCAGATACATTCCGGGCTCAAGATATGAACCGGGAATGTTGTTCTCAGTGTTCCACCCTGACAGACAGAAGGTACTGAACCTTTTAGACTTGAACAGAAGACTCTGAGGGGTCTTGATACAAGTATTCAAAATCCGCAAAGGCACTAAAAAAGTCAAGCTCATGGACATCTCCAGAACACACAGGGAAATACAAACCAGAGGGCACATGTGGAAACTATGTGGCAGTGCATTTTGAAAATGAAAACAGCAGGCACTTGTTAGCACAAAGGGTTAGGGGAATGTGTTACAAGCTACCCAGCCATGTTGTTGAACCCAATACACTGGCTACTTTCAAACCACAGCTCAATCAGATCCTCTGATCAATGAGCTGCTAACTGGGTTAGATGGGGCTTCACAGTATATTGTCCATTAGTATCATGTTTCTTATGCTCATAGATAGTATTTTGTGTGTGTGAAGACATAATCCGTATCAACAACTATAGTGCGACCTTGTACAAAGGGTATTGTAGAAATTGACATTAACTCCTGCATCATTTTAATTGGATTTACTCAGGTTTACTTAGCCTAATAAAAAGATGATTTCCTAATAGAAACCAGAGTAACTTTCAAACAAAAAGGCTTAATTATTTTTTACTCTTACCTTGTCTTGTGCTGTTTTCCAAGTTAATTGAGCATCTCCCTCCTTGGATATTTTTTTTCTCTGTCTGGTTTTCCTTTCCATCAAACCTACAGCTGTCATTTCTTTTTTGGTAATGTTTCTGTGTGGCACAGCAAGCATGGGAGACAAATGAGGAGAAAATGTATCTCCTGCTGTCCTCTCAAGAGCAGGTGCACCAGCTGTGGTTACAGCAGAGCTTGGAAATGTAAGCAGTTTGCTTTTAAAGCCAAAACAATCACAGGATTTGGCAGCCAACAATAAACACTTTCTGAGAGTCATGTCTTTTTACACTGTAATGACAACATGAATGAATATATGCAATCCTGAATTTTGAGAGTATCACATAAACCCAGTGTCTTCTATTATAACAAGCCATTTTAACAAAACATAATAGATTTCACATCTATTTTACAGTATATGCAAAAATTCTATTTCTATTAATGTACTGTATTTGGCTGACACTTTTATGCAAAGCTTTATCTTTTCATATAACACCTGTAAGTTAATCCTTGCATTTATACCAGTTTCCAATTTTTTATGGTTTTCTTCGTCAATCCATTTGAACTTCCTGAAAGTTTACTGTCCTCGTGCCTGTGTCTTTTAGACCAAATCTAAGATGCTGGACAAGATTACTGTCTATGATAATATGACATGGTAATGAGACATTGTTATTAAAAAGAGATTGTTACAAAATACTCCATCCAGAGTGCTGTGTTATTTCCATTTTAGGATTATCAAAACAAGCTAATGGTATTATCTAATGGTATTTGAACTTTATGAAAAAAAATAAAATTGTTTTGCCATGTTGAAAAAAACATTTCTGAAATGTTTGCTAAGGAGGAAATTAAAGACTGATGTGATGGTGGAATATTTTGGATGTTCTTATACAGTAGCATATACTATTTTACAGACTCTTCCTACACACAAGATGAAAGCATCAAGCTGCTGATTTTCCTACAGAAAGTAATTTGGCAACTCACACATGGAAACTGAACTAAACTAAACTGAAATGAGTGGATGTTCTTTATTAGTGAGGGTATGTTCTAATGCGTGATGAAAGGGGTCTACCCTGTGTGCTGCTTGTGTAGGCTGTGCGGATCTGCGGACGATAGGTGTCTGAAAAGACATGAATTGAATCCTGGTTGCAACCATAGGGACTACAGCCCTTGATTTGGATCACAGAGTCCGATGCTCAGTTTGATGCACAGTTTGAAGGGAGTGGGGGGGGGGGAGGGTTCAAGAGAAAGAGTGGAAGAGTTTTAGTCTAAGATGAAACTGTCTCCAACAGCGTTCAAGCATCAGTTGCAGCAGTGGCATGACTCTGGCTCTTGAGAGCTGAGAGTCATTTCCCGAGTGTGTGTCAAGTCATGGCTCCACCCACACACTCTACACCACCGATTACACAGTAGAAAGAAGGATAAGTCCGAAATATTACAATTACTTCAGCTAAGTTTTTTTATTATTATTATAGTAGTATACAGACCTTAATGATAACAATATTTGAGAGCTATACGGTATACTGCTATTAGCTTTGACCTGTGAGCTGTTAGAATGTACAGTTTGTGCATAGCTACGCACTGTTAGCAGATTGTCAAAAGTACTGATTATTCTTTGTCAAAAGAATATGTAATTAAGGGTTTATACTGTAGTTACGGACTGTAAATTCATTTTGAAATACGTTCTTATGATTATTTCTGTTTTCAGTTGTGTGCACTGCATACAGTGTTGGTGTGAGTCTTGTCATGAATAGATTCCTCAGCCTTAGCCTACAGGCCATTGGTCAAACCAGCCTGGTTAGCTGTGAAGTTGGAATGAGAGAGAGAGGGAGAAGGAGGGATGGAGACAACGAGGGAGGGAAAGAGTGAGAGGGGAAGAGAAACACAATGTTTATAAGCCATAATTATGAAAGTGATATGCTTCTTCTTCTTTTCTGTGTGTTCGTTTTCACCACTTGTTCGATAAATTCTCCCCCATTTTGCAGCTGCTGAAACTCTTACCGGTGATTTGCATTTCTTGAAACATTTCCCCTCATTTTCCAAGCAACCAGCCTGTGACAATGCAGCATGTGCATGTACAGTAGCTCCTGATACTCTCTCACTCAGGTTAACAGTTAGTAACTACTACCACTGTATCTCAGTAGGTGATCATGCATACTTCTGTTTATCCTGTTCTCCTTCCTCTTCATCAGTGAGGTTCGGAGCATCACTGAGATTCAAATCACCATCGATATCTTGCAGACATGAGCAGTTAAACACCTTTGAAGAAAAGAAAATCTGCATTTAAATGTTTACAGCTGAATTATGTACTGTCTTAAGACACCATAGGCTCTGCACAAAGTTCAGTCGGTAATCCTAGATAATGGAAACCATAAATAACATGTTAAAACCTTTGTATGTGAATGTACATACTAAAGCAGTTTAGAATGTTTAGTTATGCCAAATCAAGGTATTAACCATTTCTAATATTACAAAATTTACTTTAGGAAGACCCAATTTTCTGTTAATTTCAGTTTTATCCAATTTATAAATAGGTTATTCTGTGTAAAGTTTGCCTGTTCTCCCTGCATTTGTGTATTTTCTTTGAGTGGTCTAGCTTCTTCCAAAGAGATTTTTCCTAGGTTAGGTGGTGTTTTCAAGTCATTCCTTGTGTGCAGGTCTGTGTGGGTGTGTGTCTGTGTGCTGGTGTGTTTGTGTGTATCTGTGTGAGGGTGTGCCTGTGATGGGTAGGCTCTGATCCTTTCAGGAAGAAGTAGTTTTCTGTTAGTAAATGAAAAAAAAATCCCAGATAAATTCCCAGATAATATTCTTTGACACAACTGTAGTTACATGCTAGGAGGTTCTGTAATGAAGGACAGAACTGTGTAAATAATCTCCAGTCTGCACTGTGCTGTTCTCTTGAAAGTGACTCAATTGTTCATCACCTTCAGTACCGCGTTATCCGACGAACAAAAGGCCAGGGAACTAGACTGAGATTTTATTACAACATTATAACCCTTTAAAGGCAGTATAATAGTCATCTACAGGAATTAATGTCCTTATAATAGCACTTTAAGTGAGTGATATGACTATAGTTACATGTCCACGGATTGATTTCATTATAAAATAGATTTACATGGGCTGATATCACTACAATATCCCTTTACAGGGAGTGATGTCACTATAATAACTCTTTACCTACTGTAGATTGATGTCATTAAAATAGCCATTTACAGGGACCGCCATCACTACAATAACCCTTTACAGGTAGTAATGTCACTATTATAAGCTTATTATAACTCTATCCACAGCAGCAATCTACACTTCTGTTGTTTGTGTATGGAATCATGTCACTAAAGTAACCAAATTTAAACTGGAAATAGAATACTTTTACTGGATGTATTGTCAGTGCTATTGATGCCAGGGAAAAAGTCAAAGTATGTACAGTACTTGTAGTAGCGAGATGTGACCCCGTGTAATTTCCGAGCCAGTCACACTCTGTCCCATCTGCTGGGCCCCGTGGTTGGAACATGAACAATGTCAAACAGCATGGCCATGCTCCCAGTATTTTTTTTTTTGAATGAGTCTCACATGTTCCAATTGTACTACTGTTCACACGCTGATGAGTCACCCTGATTCATTAGTAATTACAGTGGGTCAGTGTGTAGCTGATGTCATGGAGTCAGTTTGAGGTGAAGCTAATGGATAATAGGGTTACTTTACAACTCTCAGCCCCCGCATGCTCCCTGCTCTCATCAGTACACAGGAAGAAAAGCAGATGGAAAGTATATTTCCTTGTCTGCTTTTGTCTGGAAGAGCATCACAGTTAACATTTGGCACAGTGTTTCCCCTTGATTCGGGAGCTGCTAAGTTATTGTGTGGGCTGAATGAAAGTGCTCACTCCAAGTTTATAGCAAGCTAGTTCTGCCAGTACCATATCAGGGGTCATCTGCTATAGGCATTAAAAATAACCCTTGCAAAAACAAACAGCAAAAGCTTCATAGATGTGTTTCTGCTGTGTATTCAATACAATATTGTACATGTACATTATGCCCCTTTGGGGACTTTCAATTCAAAATGTATTTAGACTATCAAATTGCATGGTTTACACCAATTCATACTCACCTGCTCAGAGATAAATACAGTACATGTTTTTTATTGTAATCTTTGGGTTTATTGCACCTGTTACAAGTCTACAGGTGAGCAGACCGATTTATGGTAAATGTCAGCAAAAACAAAAGAGAAACAGCTAAAATATGTTGATTGCATAAGTATTCAGACTCATGAATTACAGCAGTTACAGCTGCAAGATGGTTTGGGTATCTATTAAAAAATGTGCTGGCCTGAAGCAGTTTTTGTGTGATGTATTGTGGAACTGAGCAATAGTCGCTCCTCCCCTGCCAGGGGGTGTGGGGGGTTTATGTTAAGTGGCTCCAGGGGAAGTAGTTAGTTTTTCAGTTAGTTACCAGTTGGGAGCAACTGTACGTTGTTCAGTTAAGTTCGAATTCAGCATAATCCTTCAGTGGCTCCACATTGTGGGTAGATATAACAACGAGGCGGAGGGAAGAACCAGTCGTTCTACATGGACGAGCCTGAGCAGGGAAAGAAATACAGCTGGAGCTCCGCGCGTGAAGCCGATTGTGCTGACGGCATAATCATCAATTAAAATGGTGACTTTTGGATATATGAAAGAGTTTATGGCAAGCAAAGAAAGTTTGTGGCTAGCATATGCAGAGATGCTGGATTGTTTTTTTTTTCTCACGCAAATGACGTTTTGAGCCCTGAAAAGAATCAATTCTTTTAAGTGTGTGTGGAGCAGCGACAGATTGTAGCGCCCTCACCAGGCAGTGCTGAGGAATGAGGCTGCTGATGTCAGCCCCAGCAGAGCATGCTGGGATAGATGGGAACCTGTCTGGGACAGCTGGGAACTATCAGGGAAGCTGTTAACTCCTGGGACTTGGGGGGAAGGACAGGGGTTTGTGTACATGTTCAGTGAATGTACGAGTGTTGCTGTCCTGTGTTTCCCCATCCTGGTCTGTGGTCTCAGGTTCCCACCCTGACCTGCCTGGCCTTTGTTAGTCGTGATCCCCAAATATTTGTTGTAATGCACCATAATAGAGCGGTATTCTTCTTGTTGGGTGGTGAGTGTAGTTCTTGTAAGGATAGTGAAACTTGAGAGAGCTGAAGGAGAAGATAAAGCATAATGTTGCTAAATGGGGTTTCTCAACAGCAACTAAAGAGGAAATCAATCTTTTGAGCCCCCAGCAGAAGACTGAACAACTGCAGTTTCAGAGCCAGCACAGGGAAAAGGCATGGACAACAACAAGTGGTAGGTCTTTCATTGTGCAAATCCAGCCCCAGCATCCACTTGCTCAGTTTGATAAAGGGCAATGAACCTTTTTAAGAACTGTTGTAATGTAGTAGATTTGCATGACGTTGCATGAATGTGTACTTATTGTGAGATGTTTATTTTGACAGAAAAAAAGGATAGTGCAACTTGCTTATCAGGATACGTGAGTGGTCTAAGGCACCAAACTCAAGGACAGTGACCCTATGCCATTCTTATCAATGAAAGAGCACTTCCATTCCCACTCTTCTGCATGTTTATTGCCCACGTTATGGTATTTGTCTTGTAGCCTCAGTTAATTCTGAAGTGGCTAATGCAGAATTAATTGAGTACTTGCGGAAAAATTATGACCCAACGCCGTCCACTATAGTGCAGCAATTTCCTTTCCATCACTGCAGACGGCAGTCAGACCAACCCATAGCAAGCTACAAAGCAGAGCTGAGGAAATTGTTGGTGCACAGTGAGTTCGAAATGTGGAACCTGCAAGAGTCAGAATACTTATGCAAGTCACTGTAAGAGGAGATCCACTTAATCCACTCATGAAAAGTAGCACCACCTACAGTAGGTAGCTGACACACAGCAGTCAGTCTGCACCAGCAGTCCCAATATACAGCAGATCAGCTGGACAAGTAATACATTGCTTCACCAATTATATCAATTGGAATGTTTTAGGAAAGTCAGAGTGGGCAAGTGTAAAGTGAAATTTAGGCAAAACACCCCTGGTCATTTGCTAAATAAAACTTCACAATTATAACTGACTATATTTTCAACAGTACGTTTTGAATTCTACATGAAAATACTTGATGTCTTATGCACCATAGACAGTATTTCTGGGACTATCTAACCATTATTGCATAGTGTGTAGTGAGGCATGTTTTTGAGGGGAGCAGTGGGAGTCTACTTCTACAGTTTATACTATTAGTATATGTCTGTTACACCAAAAAATAAATTAGCATTCATTTTGACAGCTCAGTGTTTTAGAATATATTTTAATTCACACATTTAGAAGCAAACGGCCTGTATAGTTTTCAGTGAAAAGTAGAGCCTTTGTTATAGGACGTAACCCAAGAAGAATGAGAAGATGCCACTGAGGTAAGATGTGTGTTCACAGTAAAGATTGTGATATCTCATTGAGAGGAACTTGTTTGTCACTTGGCATGCTTTTAAAGCTGTAGTTGTAGTTTTTCTGCATATAAACATACTACCCTTACATGTGAAATTATGCACAAGCAAAAATGGATAGTAAATGTTTAACACCAGAAAAGTGAGATATAAATAAGATTTTTTATGGAGCTATAGGACATTGATTATCAATAACCCTGACAGCACAGTACCTTCATGACTTGTTCTTCAGGACCTTCATTCATGGTTTGATTTTCACACAAGCCTGCTTTCTCCTCTTCTGCAAAACATTTCCAGAATATAATTTTTAGCAATAAAGGTTTAACAATTGTTCCTCACTCCCATTAGGTCAAGCACAATCCTGATGTTCACTGATAATTTGAATCACTTCTGTTGCACAGTTATTGATCCATTCCCTGTTATGGGAGTAGCGAAAGAGAACTAATGCAACAAACTTTATTGGTTCATTTCTGACACCCAGATGTTTCTTTATTCCTGTTGGTCATGCAAAGCTACAGTATTACATCATGTGATGGAGGAGAGCAATCTAGAGTGTTGAGCTCAGATCAAACATCTGAGAGACCTCGAGACCAAACAAAATATATTAATGTGCATTATGCATGTGGTTGTCAGAGATATTGGAGTCACCTGTAGTGAGCTGATTTCTCAATCTATATAAGAAAACAGAACAAGACAGTGTCTGCTCCCAGACAGTTACTGTACATTGGTAAAGTCTCGGCTGAGACAACACAAGGGTTATTTGGAGAGACTTTTATTGTCGGATCAAATATTACCGGGAACTTTTACACAACCAATATTTGCTGTGTCACATAGTCAAAAGACTAAACAATTTAGGTCTGGACCATTGGCCAAAGAGGATCCGTCAGTGATTTAAAACATTAGATTAAGATCAAGAATGGAAAGTCTGAAACATTGGGCTGGTTCTAATCTCTGCTCAGTAACAGTTTCCCATATATTAAGAAAAATGTGGTTCCCGTTCCTGGACCCTGAAGTGTGTGCACTCCTTGCCTTGTCCAAAAGGAGTGAAGGGGGTTCAGCACTAAAAAGGGAGCCATGGCCAAGTACTGCATGTGTAGTTTTGCAGAAACAAGTACAGTATGAGCACATCACAGCAATGCACAGAGAGTGAACCTGATGGTGTGTGCACACATAATCCACAGCTGTAGGTCACTGTAAAGCCCTGTCAAATAACATCAGGGGAATTAAAGTTTTAAATTAAAAGAAGAAAATTAAAGGACAGGAAATGGGCCTTTAAACCAGCTCAGCATAATACATGATCCCTTACATATGGGCCAGCAGTAGGTTATGGAGAATCCCAGCATGTTACAATAAAGGATGGCCTAACCTTTCAAGCCATTTCAAGTTTTTTAGTACTGTCTGTATAATACAGGGGCTCCCCGTTAAAAGTTCTATATATAAGTTCTATATTTTTCCCCACACTACGGTCACTGAGATGTTGGAGAGGCATTGTAAAATTCTCCCGCACTTGAGCCATGTTTGACCAAGTGACTGACTTCCATTCAGAAAACTTGTCACTCACATTTTGTGTACACGGTGGCGAATGTAAAAGAGACAACGATTTTTATTTTGATCTTTGCCTCCAGAACGATTTGCTCCAAACAGTGCAGCGGCAGGGTCAGGACGCTGTGATGAAGCCGATGCCGTCGGGTCTCTCCTGGACCCGCTGGTAGGCGGGCTTCCGGGCCTCCATCTCCTAATGCTGAGCCCAGAATAGCGAGAGCATCAGGCTTAAATAAGGAGGGACAGGATTGGGGGGAGGAGCATGTAATCAGCAAAATGGGAAAGACCCGGAGCGCCCTTAATCGAGGGATTACGATCGTGACAGGCTGGCCTAGCTTTTTGGGCCTTGGAAGACCTTGGAAAGGGTCCCCCCCAGATCATATTTTGCACAGACTCCCTATTGTCGGCTCCTAACACAACTTGTTTTTTCTACTATTTAGAACAATAAAATAAATTAGTTAAATAACTAGAAAACTTTTATTAACCGGCTTTGCAGAACACATAATAATGTATAAACAAGAACACAAGGCATACACTTTACAAAGATGATGTATTTTAACATTGAGGGTAATAAAAAGGAGCATTAATAACAATACAGTAAATTAGATCCCTCATTTTTAATAAATTAAGAATAGATCTCCGTTACTTCCATATTTTAGCAAATCATAACTTACAAATAACTGAAACCTTTGTAGAAATAGATTGCAGGCAGAAATAAATATGAAATAAGTAGGAAATAACAAACAAGTTCACTCGATAACAAGGGAAGTGAGATCAGTAAGGCTGGGCAAATGGGAAAGTTATAAAAAAAGGTCTATAAATCAATTTGCAAATATTTTCGACCTCAGGTATGTTTTAATCAGCTTGAGCCCTGAAAAGCTCCTCTCTGCTCCTGCCGCCATCACTGGGAGAGTGACTGCAGACCGAAGGGCCACAGGTTGGATTTACAAAACCCTCATTTAATGAAAAACAGGAGAAACCGCAAGGTTTTAATGCCGACACCGTATTATCGCTGAACAGTATTTTGTACAGTACGTTTGCTTTCACACTTTTTTTCAGCCAGGCATTTATTTTGCCACATGTCACGTGTACAATTGCAGGAAAGGTGAATCTGTTAATCTCCACTAAAACATCCAGTAGTCTACCTATCCAGCTTAAAATGTGACATCTACCGTTTGCTAGTTACGTGGGTCTGACAGACTCAAAACCAATTGAAATCCAAATTATTGCATTATTCCGCATATTGTGCATTATTACAATGACTTGAATAGGGGCACCTCCGTTTTGAGATCACTTATCCATCAGTTAACCTCAGTTATATCAGTTAACCACTTAGAAATTAAACATTATTTTTTTAAACAAACATACAAATCTATTAACACAAAAAAACGAAGGAGGAAACCACTACTGACCATTTCTGGGTAGTAATAACCTAATTCCCAACACAAGACTGTGGAAAAGGAGGCCACCTGCATGATGCAGCACATGAATTATAGAGATAAGTGTGAGATCCTTGACAAACTACGGTCAAAGAGAAAAGGGGAAATGGAATCATGGCTTGCCGTCTGTGAAATACATTGAGATCTAATGATTAACAACGGGGTGACTCTTCTTTACTGCTGTTTTAATCAAGATGAAAAATGTTATTATTGTTCTAAAGCTCATGTAGATGGAATGCAAAATGTATTAAAGTCTTACAGGGAAACAGGCTTGAAATGACTGGTTATGTTTTTGTTTTTTCTGCTGTTCTTGGGAGTGGGGGGGTGGGGTACTGTATACGCTGTAAAATCAATGAAGCCCCTTGCTGTTCAGCTGCCATTGAGGAACACTGTGAGATTCTAGCAACAGACATGCTTGTTAGCCCAGGCTATAATGGAAAAAGCAAAGCATAAATGCTTCTTTGATATTGAGTTTTAATCATATTCATTTTCTTTTGCAGTAGCAGCGTGTTACCTTTAATCAGGAACATGGAAACTGTACTTTATCCTAAGTAAGGGAATAGAATCCCTATGTATTGACTGTGGACTTCAACTTAAATCATTCATTAAAAACATGAATACATTTCCATAACAAAAATTAATATTTAATTATTTTATCATTTTAACTATCATTTAATAGGAAATAATAACCATAGTTCAAGCTATTATAATAGGAAAGTGAAATTAAAATATTCTTTTCTGTAGTCAATATGATTTCAATTTCAAAAATAATCTCAAACAATCTAGTTTCATCAGATTTACTGTATTTAATTATCACAGTGTCTCTAGAACACTTTTTTGCAATGTTGTTAAACTTTGGCTTCTCTTGATCTGAGCCAAGCAAGCTTTCATAAAAAGTCAGACTATAGCTGAATATTATAAATCCCAAAAAATAATATCAGTCAAAGAAAAAGTAATTACCTGAACTGGCAACAGATTTGAATGTATTTAGTTTTAATTTAAAGAAAGGTCTTTAAAAACTTTAAGTGCATGCCTGTATGGTTTCCAATTAAATAAAGCAAAAGCAAAAACTTTAGGAATCCATTTCTACACAAGTTCCAACACAGCAAATTAAACTTTTCTAACAGAACTTAAGCATCCAGACTTGCAAGAGCTGATGATAGCTAAGGACTCATTCCACGGCCCACAGCTTTGTAGCAGCAGAACATCTCTCCCAGTCTCTCAGAGTCACTTATTGGACAGGTGTACGGGGGTGTGACAAGCTCAGCGGACCCCTTTGTCTGCCGGTATTCATTCAAAATGGGCTCTTCATCACCAGTGCTAATTGATGCATGGAATCAACTCGCTTGTTTAGATTTATTTCATTTGTTCAAAGCTAGGGTTAAGACATGCACTAATCAGGGAATAGTTTTTATAATAAATCAAGCCTGCTCTCTGTTCAGCTTGCTAGTTAGCAATTTGCTCCCTTATTTCTGACTAAAAAGCTTTTTATAGGTGACCAGTTTATGATGACCTGACACTACTGTTTGAACCGTATCAGACACTCCCACGGTGAGTGAGATTTGAGAATTTGAGAAACTCATTCATTAGAATAGGGGTGATACAAATTACAAATCCCATTCACCTTGTTGCATTTAGTGGTGTAAACCACCACTTTTTAAAAAGCACCTTTAGAAATACAAGCACGGTCTTAAAATACTTATCTTAATATTTAGGATTTAATACTACTCTATAGTGTTCTGCAGATTTTTTTTAATTGGGGATTATGCACAACATCAATACCAAGTAATGTATTCAGATAAGCTTTTTAATTTTTCTATTATACAGCTTATAAGTAAGATCTTTTTTCGTTTTCATGCCTTAAAGGAAGGAGTATTTGATAACATTGTATTACAGAATGATGGCAAACTAAACAGTCATTTTAATTACCAGAGAAGTTTCATGCTACAGAATTTAAAAACCTGAAACCTGTTCAGTTCTGGCAAAACTGTTACAGATCAGCGTTAAAGCACTCTTAAAAAAGAGTATGCACAATTTTAGCGACATATAATAATCGTGATTCACATAGTGTATTAAACAGTCTTCTGTAATAACCTGGAAAGGTCCTTATGCATACCAAAGTAACCTCACTTTGCTGTAAACCTCTCACCTGAGACTATATCGATGTCCTGCATGTCCTTTGGAAACCATTAAGAAAACAAGATGGATGTCCTGTTGGATCTGGTAAATCGCTTTTATCCCACTGAGCAGAAGCAAATCCCAGTTCAATTTTGGCTGTAACGTGCAGGGAAGCTATCGGCTGTCTGGCTTCATTCTTGGTGGAACAGAACATATTTCATCTGAAATTTGTCGCATCAGAAGGTGCAGAAGACAGACGCATAGGGCAAAAATATTCTGCCTGAGTGGTGTCATGTTTTTAGCATCTTATCACTTTAGTTTATTGGCTAAATCATGAAAAGTAATGAGAAGTTGTACTTTATTTCATTATAAAATGTAATTTCAGTCTATATACAGTGGGTGAGAGCTGGAGGATTAGTCATTTTTAACCACAGTTATGAATTATTTCAACCCTTTCCATAAAAATGGATCTTTCACGTTCTTTTTTTAGGGTTTAATAAAGCTGTGATTGCACTGTTACACCTCTCTCCTAATCTAGCAAACCATGGTGCAGTGGGAAGGCTTCATTTAAGCCTGTGCACAGGTGAATGTGCAAGTCTGTGTGAAAGCCGTAGTGGATATCCACTGTGCGCACCTTAAGGGAGGGGAATTGGAGGCACGGCCATCACAACCTTTAACAGGTACACCTAGTATCTCAACAATAATGATGACATACATTCAACACATTATTGAACTTTCCTGTATAACACTAATGTAAACCAATATACAGCACCTGAAAAAAATACATACTTTGTATATTTGGTTATCCATGATGTCTGGTTTCACACCCAAGCCTTGAACAGTATGTATGGTACTAGTTCTAAGTTTCTGTCACTCTATATTTAATGCAAGAGATTAAGGAACTTGTTCCATACACCTCTTTCTTCCAGTTACTGTATGTCTACATTCTCTAAAACTAAAATTTTATATGACTGTATGTACAGTATCTATTTTTGAATCACAACTTTCCAAGTCATCTGTTTTACTCTTGCAAAGACATCATAAATGCACCACAGGGCTAAAACATAATATTTTAAACACAAAATTTGTTATGAAACTGTGACAGCTTCATATCATTTTCCAAGATACAAAATGTTATCATTGGTATTGTTTACAGGTGAAAATACATACATACCAGAGTTTAAATAAAGGGGTTTTTGTGTGCTGTCAGTACATATGTTATTAAACTATTTGCCTGTCGTTCTACTCATTGAGATTTTCTTTTTCTGTTTTCTGCTACACAATAAAACCTTGTAGCTTGTAGCTAACATGCGTATTTGCTGTTTCAGTGGATTCCTGTTAAACTCTGGAATTGTATGAGGTCTTTCTGCATCAATGTTTGATGAGATTACTTTCATGCTCATGTGGTGATTCTGTTACAATGATGTCTGTATTTGTGGTGTAAGGTTGGGCAATCTTCACATTTCTGTGCACGATACGACCGCTTTTTTTAAGATAAATTTGTAATTATGCAACTTCATCATTCATTCATACTTTGGGCTTAATTAATAAACGTAGCAGGCAGTGAAATCTACACTTTCAAAATCATGTCCTTTGCCTGTTGTCAATCACAAAATGGATCACTTGCTGACAGTTTTGCTTTTCTTCAAAAACTCTTTTCAAACCTCCAGTTCAATAATACTTTACCACAGGATACATACCTAGTTTAGAAGTAAGTGTTGATTCTTGAAATTCAATTTTAAGGTATTTCATTTGGATAGGAATTTCTGGACCTTTCCAAACCTCCACAAAAGTGTTGCAATTTCCACGGGTTTCGAAATAAGCCACTGGAGTGTCCTGGAAAAAATAAAGGAAACAAGAGACTTGTGACAAGAGTGAAGCAACACTTTCAGAATCTTTGAATTTTTCAAATAAATCCCACTAATTCAATTTATATAATATTTTACTTTATAGCATTAGTTATATTATTATTTAATAATACATTTAGAATTTATTATTGTAAGCTCTAATTTAATCTTTTATTAATTTTCTATCTTTTATCTTTTACCTGTGCACACTGGGAATACTGATTATTTCTTTCTCCCAAAAGCTTTTCTTTAGTTCTTTTGAACAGCTCTTTAAGAAAATATGTCTAGAGATGATACATGATCCTTCACATTTAATATAAATAATTACAGTTTGTGAAGGGAAATTATTCAAGACAATGTGAACAATTCCAGTAAGGAGTCTGTCAAATACAAAGGTTGGTCAAATTATAAACTGGTTAGTATTTATTCCAGTAAAAATAATCCTAAGAGATTGTTTTTACTTGTGATGCAGTGGTATAATAGGGTTTGTTATCTTTTGATTTCATTTCCTTAATTATATTTAGCATTCCCCTTGTTTCAGAGAAAAACCTGTTCAATGTCAGGCAATGAATTCATATACTGTACACCCAGCAGATACTCGCTCTGCATTGAGAATGACAATCAGGCACATCCTGAATGCAGACCTGTCTAATTGATTCTCGTTTGCAGAGCAGGTTCTGGCTTTGCAGGAGAATGTTAGACTAATATTTCGCTCATCATTAAAAAAAAGTAAAGTATTTGCAGGATTGTTCTCTAATTTTTTTTTAGATTGGGATTCAGTAGTGGTTTTTCATTTTATTTTTCCTAGTGTGGAATCATTGTTTATCAACCTAAGAGCCAGTCTGGTTCACTTCAGTGCTGCCCTTACCCACACAGCGGATTAGACGACGTGCACACCCTCCTAAAACAAGCCTGATCCCCATAGCGCACAAATGTGAAGAGATAGACTAGGTGCTAATTATAATGGCTGGTATTTGCTTGATTGGAGGACATCATGTTCTGAGTTTCCTTTGGCTATTTCATTAGGCTCTTTTCATCCATGGCTCTTCTTAACTGGCAACTATAAAACCAAATCTTGATATGAAAAAAACCTTCATTCTAGTGGATTAAAACAAATTTTTCCCTCTTCATTTGAAACCCTAGCAGGGTGTTTGGTGTATACTTTATGTTGGCACAGCTGCATTTTTTTTCCACTTATCCTTCTCTTTTAATTTTGAGAACCAAACATTCCTAGGATATGAATATCTGACAGTAAGAGAAGAGAGGGACCTGGCATGACAGATCCCTGTACCATCAGCATGAATTCAATTAAAGCTGTCAATCTGACTCTTAACACGAAGTCCCTTTACTTCCGTTTATTGGACATTTAATCCGATGCCTCCCTGTTCTTTGCCATCTCTCTGCAGAGGACTTTTCAGGATTCAGCATGGCTTCCTGAACTCATTTATTTAGATGTTTTTAATTTGTGTTGGTTCTTCTACAACAGAATGATGATTCAGACTTCACAGGCCTGACTGCCACCTTCTACTACCAGAATACCAGAATAAATGTCAAACTCTGAAATTAATCAGTACATGTAAGTCACTGCCGTCCTTTTTAAGTATGCAGTTAATAATCTGTGTATAACATGGGCAAAGAAAAAACATTTTATTGCTGCTAGCAGCATCTAATTTATATGTCTTATGGTTTCTTATGTTTTTTATGTTACACCTTTAAAATGTTATTGAATCTCACTTTGCTCATCTGATTAGACCAAATGCCGTTTATGTTTAAGACAGTACCTGACAGGATGATGGTAATGACCATACTGTATATAAATCATATTCTGAGCTATTTTAGAAAGACTGCAACCACACCAAACGTAGCAGAACCAACACTGTATCAAAAAGCAATCAGTGCCAAATCATTCTTTCAGCATGTTTTCAGTAAAGGCTTTTCTTACAATCTAAGATTCGTAAGATAACCATGACCAAATTTTCTCTGCCGTTGTGCAGAAGAGTTTACAGAAAGCAAATTTCAATGGTGTGGTGCATGTCTCTCGCTCAGACTCACAATATATTACATACAGAGCATCAGCTGACAGCAATTTTGCTTTAATCAGATGAATAGATTTGAAATTTACATTTTAACCCACTCATTCCAATAGAGGAAAAGTTGATTACAAATCTGTTTTAAGCAATTGATCTGGAGTCCACCACAGACCTGCTGTAGTCTCTATGGAAACCTTAGTCCAAACTATACCCTCTGGGATCATTGAAAAGATTATTCATGCAATCTGCAATACATTCCCTAGCAACTACTGCAGTGGCGAGACTGAAGGTTTAACAAAATGCAACCTTTTGTTAAAATGTAAACACATCCGCATCTGAGTATCACAAACACAGCAGAGCAATGTAACTTTGACTTTTAAGATGCATTAACTTTTTGGATTTTATCCCAGCCTTATTTTATACTGCTTTGTTTCACAAAAATGAACCAATATTTCCAGCAGACAGATAACAGAGTGCAAACTGTCGTCCCATTCCTGTGTATTTAAAAAGTCAAGCCTGACAAACCTTTAACAGAAAATGTGTCTTTGATGCTACAGTATCTGTCTGCAGAGGTTTTAATTTTGTCTTGGGCAGTATTTCCCAAATTGATAGTGGTTAAACAAAAGTATCATTTAATTCTAATAAGGCAGTATGACAGTCCTCTTCTTCCGTCTAAATTTACCTTTTACAGTTAGTGTTAGATCAAAAGAATTTCCACTATGAGTCTAGATAATGAATGAGTCGTGGGCACAGAAAAGATTGCCATTTACAAACTTCTGAAATTAAACGGTTTCTCATTGAATTTATATGTTATTTTTTCCTTCCTTATTCCACAACAAATTAAATACGCGAAATTCCTGTATTCAATTCCTCAGCGCATGCAGACAATAGAATTTGTAGTGTTGGTGAACCTAAATAGACAGTACCAGGAATGCTGAATGTCTTCAGCTTGTACAGGCCCTATTAAATTACCCCTCGCCTTAATGATCTATTTATTTACTCTGTGACAGGACTGATGTTAAATGGTTTAACTCATGAATTATTTGAACATAGTATTTTCTTGCACTACATTCTTAAAATGAGCTCAGTCTATCCCCAGTTGAGGCATGTTTGAACACATTAGGAGCTTTTTGTATTACTGTGATTTACTTGCTTAGCAGGTGCCTTTTTCCTGGTACAAGGATGAACTGTACACATACAATAAAGTAAAAATCAATTAATCTGTAAATTGAGTCTAGCACGAACTAGAAGTGCAGCATGCAGTAGCTGTCACACAAATAAAAAGCAATATTACGATCTTAAACATTATGTAGATAGTGAGGCTCCAGAGCTGTGATGTAAACACCCTCTTAGAACCTAATTCATAATTACAGTTGATAAGTGAAATTAGCAAGTTGCACAAATTAGTGCAGCTCAGTGTGGGATTATTGGAGGATGTAGTTCTGAGTAGGATCTGAGAGATTACAGGCAGGTGCAGCCTTGAGCAGGCAGTGACAGGTGCTCTAGGACCGAGCAGTGCCGATTTCTGTGATTTCTGTGGGTAGTTCAATCCACCCCTGAGAGGAGTGAGTGAGGAAGCTTCAGAGAATGGAGAGGGGGTTCAGCGGAGCGGTGAAGAGACACAAGAGCTGAAGCTTGGCAGGAGACACGAGGCAAAAGCAAGGGGCTGAAATCGGATGCGTGCAGCGATAGAGAGCCGATGGGGAGAGCAGGCAATGGCTGATTCATGGTCACCATTCCTGGAGATGAATGCTTTCTTACTTGGTGGAACATCTGGAAGAGTAAACGCTTTAATTGATCTTGTCTTTTCATACGGTCAAGAGAAGGAAAACAGAGTTTAGAGAACCATTTGGGATCCTAGTAGTCAGTCTGAACTAAGTGACAAGGCTCTGTGACAGACAGCAGTGTGTCAAGAGTAAACCAGTACAAAAAACTACAGTGAAGCAGTGACCCCAGTGAGAGGAAAACAAGGAGCTGGTATTACTCTTACTCCTCAAGAGAAAAAGGGTGACAGAATGGTAGTTCTGAAGTATATTTTGTTAATGGAGGCTTGTTTGAAAACAGAAGGGAAACCACCCATCAGTAGAAAACCATAATTTATTTCTCTAACAAGACACAATGTCTTGAAAAGGTAGATTTCTTATCAGAAAATTCAGCTTAATTGCTTTGACGCCATGCAATGGAAAAGCACTTTGTTCATGCTGTAGAACACAGATTTCTGCATACTAATGACAGGCAGAGTGTTTTATATGCATAACTGGAAAATAAACAGCAGGGGTCAGAATCAAGAAACCTGCCTGGACCTTTATCTCTACAAAAACGCCAATTGCATAAGACAGCTCTTGCTTTATGAAGACTTTAGTAAAAAAAAAAATCATGTTTCCAGTCTTCTCTTTCAATTTCCATTTCCATTCTCTTCTATTGACTCATCCAGCAGTTTCTTGAAGTATCCTGGGAAAGGACATCAGTACCGTGGCTGGATAGTTCGATCTAAACCTGCACAGGTCTCTGTGTAATTTCAATGCTCGATGCATGTATGTCCTCAAGTTAAACTAGCACTGTTTGTCCTGAAGTCTGCTGGACAGGTTGTCAGTGCCTTTCAGGAACATTAAAACCACACACTAAAAGAAACATACTGGAGTCATAATGTCTTTAAAAATGTGGAGAACTGTATCTACTACTCATTAAAAAAAAACATAAAACCCAGTGGTCACTGGTAAAATTTCCTTTTTGAATATGCTCTTTTCATATTACAGATTTTGCCTCTTTTAACCTACCATTTCTTCCTGCGTGAGATTCTGAGCAGCACAGTGCGAAAGAGTGTCAGTCCATTCTGAGTCCTGAAATGCCATCTGCTGGGAGGAGGCAGAACATGTTGGGAAAATGAAGTCAGCTTAACTTAACTTGCTCCTTTTAAAGGCAGACGCATACAGAACCCACTAGGGTGCTAGAGAGACTCACAGCAACTTTCTCCAGCTCTAACTTTGTGTGCAAAAGTTCCATGTGCAAAAGATCCAGAGGCTTTTAAAAAACACATATCGTTTTACTTCAAATTTGCTATGTAAGATTTAATTACATTTATCCTTGCAATTCTCTCTTAGAACAAAAGATAATTTAGCTTAATATGCAATTTTTATGTAGACTAGTTAATAATTACATGAGATTGATGCAGCCATTTTCTCTGTTTAGATGGAATTTTGGAATTTTCACCTATCTTGCCCTCTCCAATATTCCAGAATCTTCACCCTCACCCAGAATGAGCCCAGTGCGATATTCCAGAATCTTTACCCTCACCCAGAATGAGCCCAGTGCGATATTCCAGAATCTTCACCTTCACCCAGAATGAGCCCGGTGCGATATTCCAGAATCTTCACCCTCACCCAGAATGAGCCCGGTCCGATATTCCAGAATCTTCACCCTCTTCCAGAATGAGCCCGGTGCGATATTCCAGCCTGTTTTAGCAAAAAAGGTCAGAGACAGAATATTTAGCTTTTCGTGTTCTTTTCTCTCTTTCTATGTAGTTGTATTTGTAATCTGAGAAAATAAACTATTCCATTGCCTAGGTTGCAGTCTCCCTCTGGCAACTCCTACTCCTTTTAAAAGTAACTTGTTCTACTTTTTTTCTTCAGTTGCACCTTGGAGCAAGAACCAAACTTGTCTGAACAGCAACACTGTCCTCAGGAGGCCTGAACAAGACATGCCATTATCCACTTGAGTGGGTAAAATTACATGCTGTCTGTCAGACACAGAGAGAGATTTCTAGTACTGTTGTCATTGGACAATAACTATGGAGACACATGTGAGCAACAGAATTGTTTTGTTGTGTTGTACACTGTGCTCATTTGCCAACAAAAATGATCGCCAAATTATTTATACACACTTTTTTGGGGGGAAACATCTGTGATGGAGTGAAGTGGAAGTTTTCAAAAGCTCTCATGTCTGAACCACAGAGTATAACTTATAGAAACTCATTAGTAAGAGCCAAGGACTGTATTTTTATCTCAAACAGCAACATGGGAAGATCAATCTGTATAGCAAGAAAAAGATCTAACTCAAAATGTAGTTGCTTCTAGTGTAATTGAATTTAATCTTTAACCATCCAAAGGAAGGCACCTGCTATTAACCCAATATCTCCTATTGTACATTGGTTTGGGAGTTCTTAGTCAGAGAAAAGTGAATGGCACGTTCTGGTCAAGCAACAACCAGTTACAGCTGCAACCTGGATTTCCAGAACAACGGAATTCTTTATTGCCAAACAACAACAGTTGGTAGAATTTGCTCTGCAGCACAGCAAAAGGACACTGATGGAGCAGACTTACAACACACACGTCATTAAAAAAAGAATACAACTTAAAATGAAAAGACAAGCAGGACACAATCAAGTGTGAAGGTAAACAGGAACCTTACGTTTGGCCATCGGCCTTGTAAAAGAGATGCTTTTATAGCTGAAGAGCGGAGAGATCCAAATTCATATGGCAGTGGGAAAGAAGCTGAGGTTGAAGTGGACAGTTCGTGAAAGGATTTAACGCGTTTTCCCGAAGGCAGGAGCTGGAAAAGCTTATGATCCGGATGAGAGGGGTCAGAAATAATCTTGTAGCCACAACGGGAGATACTGTACAGCCTGCGTAAAGGGAAGAAATGGAAGTGGGTTCACATTTTCGAGGCTTTAGACAGGAAGTGGGTATTATTTTCGAGGCTTTAGACAGGATCCTTTCCAGTTTCCTTTTGTATAGCTGTACATACATACTAAACAGTGATGGAAACTGTCAAAATGAGGCTCTGCATGGCTTGGCACCTCAGTACCTGTCTGAGCTACTACCACCCTACTCCCCACCTCGCAACCTTCGCTCTTCTAATTCTGGTCTCCTGTCTGTCTGCCAAGCCCGTCTACAGGGCCTTCTCCTGCTGCACCCCAGAGCTCTGGACCTCTCTCCCCAAGGATATCAGAGAATCACCTTCTCTAAACTCCTTCGAATCCAGACTCAAAACCTTCTTCTTTAGAAGAGCCTTTACTTAATTAGATCTGTTCTTTACCCCTCTGCTCCTTTTGTACTCAGTACCCTTATCTACTGTCTCCTCTCATTGTGTATTCTCACAGCGCTTTGAGAAGGCACTATACCATTAAAGGCACTATATAAAATAAAGTTTATTATTATAAAATTCTTTGAATTATGTCTGTGTGGAATTGACGAAGAAATTGTTGATCCACTTTGTGCTTCTTAAAGAAGTGATTTAATTTTAATCGCAACCAATCCCATCCAGCCTTGAACAATCATGACATGATTATTAAATCCTGATAGGTGGTTCCAGACTTTGAGAGAAGGAGCCCTTGCAGGTCCTTCACCCCAGTACTGATGAGACCTAGTCTTACTCAGTGTCTGAGATCTGACAAGATTATCTTAGAAGGTGACAGCACTACTGTTTTTATAAACTGCTCCTCACCACTTTAGCTAAAATTATAATTTATGATTGGGTAAATGCTAAAATTCAGAACAGTGCTCTTCCATTCAAAAATAAGATCTAAGCTTAACCATCTCTGTTTTTTGTTGTTGATAGAACCACTGAAGCTACCTCAGCCCAGCTCAGCTCTACGAGGAGCACTGTGTCAGTGCCATCATTCTGCCGAGGAACCATGGGAGCATAGGAGAGTGTAGAAAACTGTAAGACAGTTTTAAATTCAATATTTCTGTCAATTCCCCTGTCCTTTGCTCATTGTCAATTCACATAATTCTGCTGATTTTCTCTCTGCTGTGAGAACTAAATTGCAACTGACCGTGCAGGCAAAGAATAACTGCTGTGGGACCCCTGCAAGTGAATTGAGCACTTAAGCTAAATCACTGGCTTACTGTGAAAAATATATCTGACTTCACTGCCATTTTGATTAAGGGATAGTTTGCAGATTGGGTGATCGAACAAATTCATTAGTCTGTGGCAGCTTTCTGCAGCTGTGACAATCTTAGCCTATTCACAGCAAGGAAATCGGGCCAGCTTTGTTGAAGAGGGTTTGTTGGTTAGATTAGGAGGTCCGCCGTAGGGTCGTTCAAGTGTCTCCTCAAGTAAAAGCCTTTACTAGGAAGACAGAATGCAGAATGAAATCTGAGGCTTGCAGAGCCACACTCACATTGCATCCTGAAACCCCCTGTGACCACAACCGGCTTTAGAGTGGATGAAATTCCTTGGGAATTCCTGGGAGATTCCTTGGTTACGGTGAAAACTTGTGACCTGTTTTATTGTATTTCACTATACTGTAAAAAGGCGCCATCCTTCAGATGAGATGTAAAACCTAGTTTCCGACTCTCTGCG